TGACATTTCCTTAGAAGACGATGTTTTGTCAGCTTAGGACAGAGGGCTGAGCCAAATACTACCATCTCATGCTTTTATAAAGTATATGCATACTAAAAATATATTAATACACCCATAGATGAGTAAAATATTAATAAACAGGTAGCACTCTTTCTGTTTCCAAGAAGCTTGTAAGTCAAACAGGCAATTGAACAGGCAAGACTGAGACAAGATAAAAAGCGAAAAAGACAATGTCCAGGCTCAGAGAGGAAAACATAGAGCTTTAAGTGCTCTTTTCATCAGAGAGTCACTCTTAGCTTTTTCCAAGGTGATACTACTGAAAATATAGAAATTAGTTTTCAGTTAGTAATTTATCATCTTCCATAACTGAAACATTCTGTTTAAAATGTCTAAATAAAAAACACACACACAACTCCCCTAGATTCCCCCTTCAAAGGAAAGCAAACCACAAGACAGACTACAGCTCACACCCTGCAGCTGTCAAYAAGGTTAAGGTTGCCACCACAGTCTTCCAGGGTATCTGGTAAAGAAGAGGCACCTGGAGGGCTTTCCTCCTAGCATCTGGAGGAATTGGTTTTTCTCGTCCTCCAGGAAAACACTGAGGTGGGCAGCACACGGGATRGACCTCACACGTGATGTAGTCTGTAAATCTGATTAGAAACTCACCAGATGAGCTGATGTCAAGGAAAGACTTAAGACAGCCTCCATGGCAACTCATGGGAGGCGCACTATGCAGCAGAGCTCCAAGTGCACCCTGGCCCCTGAACCAAAAGGAGATGGTGCCTGTTGCTATGACCTTGCCCTCTAGTCCTCAGGCTTGATCGAATGAAAATATGGGTGTATCAAGAGTGCCCAACTCCTTAGCATTGCTGATAAGACGAGGAATGACAACCCACAGCAAGTGTCAGAACACCAAGAGCACCCGGTGAAGGTTCTGTCCTCCTGCCACTGCCCAGCTCCACTGTCCCCGACGAAGGATGCAGAAGAAGTTCTAAAAACTGGAAAATCTGAGCAAGTGTTAGAGAAAACAGGCTTCAATTTACTTGGAGTTCATTAAAACATGTAAATCATATGAAGAAAAAACATGGAAGAGCCAATTTTCAGGTTCAAATAAGTATGACAAACATACCACCTAAAAAAAATCAACCTAGCTAGTAACTGCACATTAAGGGAGGAAACACTACTTTCTTTTTAAATTGGCAAAACTGTTGTAATTATAATGACTAATGTTGATCAAAGTGCAGTAAAAAGTACATATTTTTATGAAGTTATCCAGCATCATAAGCCAATAAACGTTCACTATAATTTACTCAAGTTTCATTTCTAAATAATGATCCTAAGGACGTAAGCCAAAGTATGGAAATTTTGATATGTATGATAATTTCACTATGCTATTTATTTAAAAGTGGCATAAATTATATACATAATAAAATATTATACAGCAATAAAATGGATGGTTATGAAAATAATAAAGGATTATTTATTATTTTCATAATAATAAATTATGAAATTTATTGCTGTGAAAAAATGGGAAACTGTGAAAAAAATGATGTCTAAAAAAAGCTAAGATATTAAACTGAATATGTGGTTTATTTATTTATTTATGGTTTATTTATTATGGGGGGGGGGTACTGGGGATTGAATCCAGGGTCTCACACATAATGGGCAAGTGCTTTGCCACCGTGCTATATCTCTAGCCCACTAAACTGAACATAATTCATGATTATAATATGAAAGAAATAATTTGTATAGGAAAATGTTAAAAGCTATATTTGGAAAATAGGATATTAATAAGGAATTTTTTAGAATCTCTAGCATTAAAATTTTTTGAAACACTTATTTTTTGGAAAACAAACATGCATGTTGACTGATATACTCCAAACTCCTCTAACAAAAATCACACTATCCAACTGGAATTCATTCATGCATTGATTTTCACTAACAGTGCACAATGCATAAGCCAACTCATTACTTAGGACTAATATTATTCAAATGATTTGGGTGGGGGAAGAAATGCAGTTCTCCATAGTGACAACCCAACTTTCATCTTTTCCTCTTTCAGGTTGAGTGAAAAACAAAACAGAGTTCAAGGAAAGTCAGAGCAGCCCATATTCCCTGCAGGTCCCATTCTTAGTGCTTCCTTCTCCACCGGCCACCAGCTCACCAACAAGGGCCAAAAACATGCTGCAAGTCAACTAAGCCTGGACTAATGGCCTCTCCAAGGGGTTTCCATAAAGGAATCTAAAGTGTTTAATAATCATCTACCAGACAACTCCACACATCTTTAGCTCATCGGTGCAGGCGAGAGGTTTTATAAGTGATAGTGAGTCAAGAATGAAGAAATCCAAATTATTCTTCTCATGCATTCTATCGCTTGTTTCTTTGGAACTATCCGTCTCTAGATAAAAAGGAGTCAAATCTCAACAAGGTTATGGGTTGGACCAAAACACTGAACATCCTTTACCTCCTGAGCCCACATTTATAGCACTGGGAGAACTCAGCCAGAGTCCTCTCGGTCTGGTTGCAGGAGCCTATGTTACAGTACGTGGCACCAAACAGTCTATAACTTCCTAAACCATCCCTGTTAGTGACACAGATAACCCCTTAAGCACAAAGGAACATAACAGTGAAATTCAACGGAGCCCTGCTTGTCTCTTGGGTCACAGACAGGTTGAATATCATACACTGCTGAGTTTCAGGCTCAAACCTTGGTGAGCAGGCTATTAAAGTGTCTGAAGCAGGGCTGTGTGGATGCAACTTTGTTTACCCAGCCAGCCAAGGGCTGCACCGCTGGAGCCTTGCTGGCGAGCCATGGCCGAGCTCACAAAGCAGCCTTACAGCTCTGGACCCAGCCTCAATGGCCTGTCTGTTACGTCTTTTAAGATATTTTGATGTGTCACATCAACCCAGCAGCTAAACCTGGCAATAAGCTCAAACCCCACATACGTTTCTTCTTCTTTCTAACATCAGCACTTCCACACAAATGACACTTTCCAAAAATAACTGGACAGAACTCCAAGAAGTGCATCCCTCCTCCCAGATCATCTCTCCCTCCTCATACCACATCCATTGCCAACTGACAAAGGGCAAAATGACCCACTTATTGTACCTCCATTAAAAAATACTAAGCCAATGAAGAGGAAGGAAACTACRGTGGGGGAGATTTTCACCCTCTATCAAGCTTCAGAGTCTGAGTGGAATGTATGGAACACCATGATTCTGGAAAACACCATGGATTATTTTGAACAGTTGAAGTTCATCTATGAGATGCAAATACAAGGAATTTAGAAGCTTTTGAGTTAAAATTTCTCCTCTGACATAAGGAACTATAAAAGGGAAAGAAGAAGAAGAAAGCCTAATGACAAAAACCTTAAGAAGCAGAGCTCCTTGGTCTTATCTTGGATTCCCCAGTGGGGTCCAGTTACCCCCACCTTAGGAAGAACACATTCCACYGGCCGTCCATGGTCTAAAAGTTGGAGAGAGTGCTTCAAAGCTGGCATCCCCCCACAGTGGGGAGGTGTCCGAGCTGGGGAGTAAGTGGCAGGTCAGCCAACACTTTGCCGAACTCCGGTCACTCCCTTTTCAGAGGGTGTGCATCAGGGCGTGCCTTGTGCCATGTGCCCAGTGCTGGGGTCACATGAGAAACCCTCACTCATTCAATTTAGAAATAGACCTAACCCTTTATGAGAATGACACATCCAATAATAGGCAGGGGCCACCTGTCTTCTCGTGCTCCACTCTCTTCCCACACAAGCTCAGTAACTTCAAACCACTGGCAACTCCCAAATTCACTCCTGAGAGCTTGCTTTCCAGCCGCCCTATTCCCAGCTGCCCGGTCCCTCTACTTCCACATCTCGTCAATCACAGAATCCTGTCATTTCTCTATCCTTGCCTCTCTTAACTTACAACACTGTTCTATTCCCACTGCCTCCAGCCTTGGCCACCCTCACTGATTCCTCCCTGGACTACTGAAACTGTTCCTGAAGGGCCTTAGGATCCTCTAATCCATCTTGCTCTGCCACTGAAGTCAGCTATTAAACACTAACACACAGTCCCTACCTAAAAGCACCAGGCTTCCCAATTGTATTTTTGCCCCTGATTCCAGACAAATCCTTATGGCCTTTCTGTCTCAAGAAACGGCATTCCCTCCACAGTACATCCTGCTCTCCCATCTCTATCCCACAACTCATGAATCCTTCAAGATCCAATCTCCTCTGGGAAGCCCTCTCCGGCTCCAGCAGCTGAGAGCCATATTGTCTGTTCCCCTAGCACTTTCTTCACACTTCTATCCTAAATAACACAATGAATGGCAGTGATCTGTTCAAGTACTGGTTTTTCCCAGAGATAACGCCAAAGAGTCCTCATGGGAAGGAACCCTATCTTCATTTGTGAGCCTGGTTCAAAGTGGCACAAAGCACACACTTGGTGTGACTGAATCCACCAGTCAGTCAGAAGACACACGGAAGGCTATAAGAGGAGTTAGGGTAAAAGGGTGAAAAGATGTTGATGGTCAGGACACCTAAGTCTAGTCCCCAGCTTCCCAGAGTTGTGTGGACATTTATTAATCTCTCTAGGATTTAGTTTCCCACCTAAAAAGGAAGGAGAACTATGTGATTTTCAGGGTCTCTTTAATTCATCTGTTCTAACATTCAGACTACAGTAAATCTACAGTGAAGACAAGACTATAAAACTCTTTGGCAACAGTATGTTCTTTAGGGAGTCTGGACACCCTCCAAAGCCAGCCAGGAGAATGCTCCTTTGCGGGCCTCTAGGCAGGGTGCTAACACTGGTGGTCCCTCCCCTCCAGTCGTCCTCCCCCAGTTGCTTTCTTAAGTTTGGAGAAAATCCCCAGTTGCCCTCTACTCATTTTGCCCCAAAGTGGACTGTTAAATATTATATACAAGAGAGGGGGGRAAAAAAAAAAAGCCTAATGATAAAAAATCTAAGATGCATTGAAAGTAACATGACTGCTAAGTTGACCCCCAAGGCTTGATAATCACCTGGTAACCCCATACTCTGGGGGTGGCTGGTACCTCAGCACGGCCACTTCTGTTCTAGCAGGCTGAGGAGCAGGGTAAGGCTTGACCATCTCGTGGAGCATCCCAGGGTGCTGGTCACTGTAGAAAAGTCCGTGATCCTGGTTCTTGCTGACTGGGGACATCATTTGCTTGGTCTTGAAGGGATACTCAGGTGGAGGACCGCGAGGGTCTAGCACTTTCGCAGCAGGCTGGGCGGGAGAGGGCCCACCTCCTGCTTTGAACCCCTTTCCATTCCCTGAGCTGGGGAGGTGTTGCTTAGCACCATTCCTCTCCAACGACAGCTGCATGATTCTCTCACTCAGAGAGCGGACATGGCCCTGCTTCAGTTCTTTCAGCGCCTCGTCCTTATGAGCCTGTCCACTGTTGGCACGGTTCACCGTGGGCCTCCCCTCAGTGCGGGACTTCTGACTGGTGCCCCCAGCCATGTAGTAACCGTGGCTCACTGGCCCCTGCTGCTGCTGCTGTTGCTGCTGCTGCTGTTGCCCCCTGAAGAACTGTGACTGGGCTTTGGCCTCCTCGTAAGTGGGCAGTTCCTCATTGTTCTGCTGAGGCTGTGTGGACCGGACCTGTTTCTCCATCACCGTATTGTCCACCTGGTGTTCTTGACCCTGCGGTTCTTGGCGTGCTGACTGGTAGACCATTTGTGGGTCTTCTTGAGGGAGGTTTTCCGTGGAAGAAAAGTTGTTTGTAGGGTGAGCTGGTCCTGCACTCCCTGTGGCCTGGTGCTGAATGGCTAGCAAGTTCATGTTCTCGGTGGGGGTGCCATACCGCAGTTGCTCCTGGATCAGCCGCTGTAATACTGTTCCAGCTGCCGCATCCTCGGAACCTCTCATTTCCACCTCTGAGATCCTCAGGAAGTTTGGGGAGTGGAAGTTACAAAGAGGATCCTCTAAAAGACAAACATAAGAAAAAAGGTATCAGGCTGTTCCCCAGGAGATATATGCTTATAAGTAGGTGGAACAATTAACATTCTAACTACAGTAGCATTAACGACAAGATTTTAAATATCCCATCCCCTCCACCTATCTATCCTGCAATGTATCATGGATGTTTCTCCAATTCACAGTGACTCTGCAACTCTCCATCTCCTCTCCTCCTGCTCCTCCTGGACTTGCTTCATCCTTCAGCACCTCCCCCACCCCCTTTTCTTTAACCTCTCCAATGGTCCCTTCTCTTCATCCACATAAACATAACCCAAGTCTTTCCCATCTCAAAAAAAAAAAAAAAAAAGCCCAAATCCAAATCAAACACAAAGAAACCGTCTTCTCTTGGCCCTACCACAGACCTCTAATTGCTACCCTGCATCTCCCCTTTCCTTCTCCTCTGGTTATCTTCAGCAAGCAACCAACACACTCCGTCTCCATCCACTGCTCCGAATAGTAACTAAATCCAACAAGAGTTTTCCAACTCTCATATTACACACCTAACCTTTCCAAAGCATTCGACATGGTTGATCACGCGCTTCTTGAAATGCTTTTCTAACTTGGCATCCAGGCTGCCCCTCTTCCTGCCTCCGAACACTTGCCTGCTCCCTATTCTCCATCTGTGCCTTCAATTCTACATTTCTGCCCAGGTCTGGGTCTGTCTTGAGTGCTCTTCTGCCCTCACTCAACAGGATATTCATCTCCTCTCCCGAGTCACCACTCCCATATCTAAAACAGCAGCCGACAGCTCTTAAGGCCCTTCTACTTCAACACATACTCCTTTCCCCACACACTAGTCCACTCCAACCTGGGCTTCCCCTGTCTCAGCTACATTCTGTCAGGCCAGAAACTTGGGAGTTTTCCATAGTAATTCCTTCCTCTCCCTGACCTCCAACATCCAGTCATCACCTGTCAATTCTGCTCCCTAAAGATCTCTGCCAACTTTCTTCATTATTCCTAAGTCAATCTCCAAGTTTATTATTAATAATCACAATAAGATTTTAAAGTGTACATGATGTGGCAGTTGTTGCACTACAATCTCTTCCTGTGTTATTTAATTTATCCCATATACAATCCCATGAGGCAGATATTATTACCCAGCTTACAGATGAAGAGAGGCTCAGAGAAGATAAGTCAGAGGCCTCAGAGAGGCAGAGCCAAGATCTGACTCCAAATCTATGAGCATTCCACAACTTTACAAGTCACTGGCTTCTCATATCCAGACCATTTCAACTTTATGTCCTGACTCTAGTCTCATTTCTATTTATTTCTAAACCCACCCCTCAGATCCCAATCTACCTTCCACATTACCTTGAAAAATTATTCCAACAGAAAAATTGACTCCTATTACTTCTCTGCACAAAGCCCCAACAATCAATTATAGGATGAAGCTGACATTCTTGACATTCTATCATATTGTGTAGCAGGTACTGCTTACCTATTTATCAACATTTCATGTCACCTGCCACATTTCATGTCATGCCTGCCCAGCACTGGTAACCCCTTGGAGTTTAATAACCTCCTGCAATATCTAAGTATGTATAGTTTCCAAAACCCGCTAGCTGTCTCCAGCCTCTAGGCTCTCACGACATTCTTCCCGATCCCTGGGAGGAGGCATCTCGCTGTGTCTCTTGGGAAATTCTATGCTTCAGGGGCAGCTCCAAATCTACCTTCAGAGTAAAACCTTTCTCTGCTGTAGCCCAATAGGCTTGAGCCTTCCTTCTCCAAAGTCCCTATTCCATTTGTACAAATGCCACTGAAGCAAACATCCTAGCAAACAGCAATTACTTATTTACAAAGACTCCAAACTCCATAAAGGAAAGATTCAAGTCTTCTCATCTGCACTTTCCTAGCACACAGCTCAATGCTGTTCTCAGATATTCAACCAGATATTCAAAACAATACCTAAGTGRGCCCCATGAAACACAACACCTAGATCATTTCCCAATAGTACTATTAAGTAGTGTATGAAGGATATTATATAGCATTATGACTGTAAAAATTCCAGAACTTACTACTGGCATGACTTTGAGTAAATCACTCACACTCTCTGAACCTCAGTATCTTCCCCATATTGTGTCCAGGAAGCTGGACTACAACATCTCTGGACAGACTGCACTTGCACAGTTCCAAGCAACAATGGTTCAGTGTTTTTATATATACAGGCAATATGTCAGTTTCCCTAAACCATCATTCATCCTCAAGAATATATATTTTCTCGTATATATGGCATCTTCATCATGCGACATTCAGATAGAAATCTCATATTCACTGTTCATCTTTTCTCTCCTTTGCTACCCACATTTAATTAGCTGCCAAGCTAGTTTTTTTTCAGTCTAAAGTGAAATTAAAAAAAAAAAGTAGTGTGATTGCTTATAATGTATGTATTCAAACACATCTGTGTGTGTTTACACAGATATCAATAGAAGGAGGCTTATAATTATCTCTTGGGTTTTTTT